TTGTGTTGTGCATTGTACCAAAGGTGCCAGGGAATTTGTATGTAAAATGTTTTATCAGTATCAGCTGCTATGAGGTTTTGAGCGTCCGACCCTCTCTGCCTCCAGGCCACAAGCTGAAGCTGAAGCAGGAGGACATTCCGATCCGCGGCTGGGCGATCGAGTCACGCGTTTACGCCGAGGATCCGTTCAAGAACTTTGGCCTGCCGTCGGTCGGCCGGCTGTCCAAATACATTGAGCCCAACCACCTTCCCGGGGTGAGCCTCCCTGGCGCGAGCAGCCCGCACAATAGTGGTCCGCGTGCTGCTGGAATAGTGGCCTTTGTCCGGCTGCGACCTAGTCTCAGACCCACTTTGACATTCAGTGGCGAGTGGTGCAGACGGTAAAAGGCGCCTTTTTACAGCATCGATTTTGATGTGCAAATGTTTTGACGTCCAAGGTGTCATTAGCTTATGTGGGTTCTTTGCTGAGTACTTTTTCTTGACTGGCATTATTATGTGTGTACTGTTTACCTGTCTCATGGCGCTCACTACGGCGTCCACCATAACGGGAATGAGCTGCTGTAAAGGTCAATGTGTTCCAGCAATGTACTCGACCTTATCAGCTCAAGTCGTGTCAGCCCTCTGGCTGGTTTCCCGTCATTTTATTTCGAAACCATCGTCTATTCCGTCCTCCCATAACACCCATTTTCCGTTGCTCCCATCCAGGTGCGGTGCGACTCGGGCGTGGCCGAGGGTTCGGACATCAGCATCTACTACGACCCGATGATCTGCAAACTGGTAGCGTACGGCAACAGTCGTCAGGAGGCGATCGCGCGTAGCCTGGACGCGCTCGACTCGTATGTCATCCATGGGGTGACGCACAACATCCCGCTACTGAGGGACATCCTGACCGAGCCGCGCTTCGTCAGCGGCGACATCACCACCAACTACCTGCCAGAGGTGGGGCGGCGGGGGTGGTGGGGCGCCTCAGTCAGGCCGGAGCTGAGACAAAGTCATGAAGAGACAAACTCATGAAACATAACGCTCTGAGCGCACGATAGTTATTGGCAGACAGTGTCTCACCTAATGATGCCTTTCAGCTGTAAATGATATGCATTGCATATTTTTGCGTTTTTTTTTTTGCACAGTTTGCTCATTGGGAGCGTTGTTATCAGGATATTTAGTCGTATTTCAGCCGATACTATGCGTCATTACAAGTTCCCGTGTTCTTTTCTTGGTGTTTGTCGTTTGTTCACCAGTCCCCGTCTCCGTGAGTCGTGCACTGACCAGTCTCCACGGCGCCTGTGTCTTGCACTCACCGTTCGCCCCGTTCCAGGTGTACCCGGACGGGTTCCAGGGCCACCGTTTGGAGGGCGAGTCTCTACTGCGGCTGGCCGCCCTCTCGGCCGTCATCCACGTGAAGCACACACAGCGCTCCAGTCTGGTCAGCGGTCACCACGCGCTGCAGCCGGTGGCCACTAAATGGGACCTGGTAAGGACGGCCGAGAGGGGCACCAAGTGGGATCCAGTGTAGGCGGGGCGGCCTGTGGGCACTAAATGGGGCCTGTTTGGGACAGGGACGCCAGCTGGGACCTGGTGAGAACAGAGCCCTGTTTCACCGGTGATAGCAGCACGCTGCTATTCCATTTCGCGAGCTGACGTCACACTTCTGGTAGTGTTGGAGGAATAGGCTTGTTGACGTCTCCATGGAAACCCAATTTGACACGTGTAATAGCAGCGTGCTGCTATCACCGGTGAAACAGGGCCCGGGAGACCATGATTACCTAGTAAAGTCCGACGATGATTTCCCAAACTTTTCGTGCGCTTAGACGACGCCCAGTACAGTCTCTGCTCTGTCCATTGCCTGTTGCTAGCCACACCCCACCCTTGTATTTTTTTTTTTTTTTTTTGTATTTGCGATCGTGGACGATCCACACATGGCGTGGCGATTACTGCCTCATCAGGTGGTGGCGTTGTTTGGTCCCAGGTGGTGTATGCTGTGACTCCCTCCTCCCTCTCGTCAGGTGGTGTTGTGCGGCGTGGCCCGGAAAGTGTCGAGGATGCAGTGTAACCCCTCCTCTCTCGTCTACAGGTGGTCCTCTGCGGCCCGGCCGGTGACGTGCCGCTCACAGTCGAAGCCGTCCAGGACGGGTACCAGGTGACGGTGGAGGGCCGCTCGCTGCTCGTGGCCGACACGTTCAACCTGGCGCAGCCGGTCATCTCGACGGCCGTGGATGGAGAGAGGGAGATGGTACAGCTGCTGCGGCGCGGCGTCAGGGGAGACGCCACAGTCAGGTGAGCGGGCGGACATCGGACGGCAGAGCGGGCTCAGGGGAGACGCCACCGTCAGGTGAGCGGGCGGACATCGGATGACGGCGGCGTCAGGGGAGACGCCACCGTCAGGTGAGCGGGCGGACACAACCAGCTAACCTAATCTTATCTAACCTCACCGAACTTGCAGGTGAGTGGGGGGAGGGGGGCGACATCAAGCGGCTGAGCGGGGTAAGAAGAGACGCCACAGTCAGGTGAGCTAGCTACTGTACTGAATGGACGGACCTAGGACGACAGAGCGGGCTCCGGCTCAGGCGAGGCGAGCGGGCGGACATGGGACGGCAAAACATGGCGTCAGGATAGTCGCTACAGTTAGGCGAGCGGGCGGACATCGGACGGCATAGCGCGATCAGGAGCGACGCCACCGCCAGGTGAGCGGGTGTGATCGACCTCGGGTGGCAGATTGACCGTAGCGACGGTGTTTGGATCATGAAGCGTCACAAGAATTTTAATTGCAAGGATAGCCACATTAGAAAGACAAGTACGATTAAAAAGAGCATAATTCGCTGTTGTTAGTGCTTTGGCCATATTAAGAACATTAAAGGTGAACAGGGGCGGCTGGGTCCGTTGAGAGGGTGGGGATTTGTGTCACAGTGGCACAGCTAGCGCGGTGGTCCCATCCGTAGTTTCCGTACCGTGCGGCAGCGGCGGCGCCTCCCCGGCAGCCGGCCCTGGCTCTGCCCCTGCCGCTGACCGGCCGTCGCCCGGGGCGGTGGGCGGAGTTGGGACGGCAGCGTTTGGTGGCGCCGTGGGTCAGACGCCAGTCTGTGGTCGGTGCGGTGGTTGGTGGAGGCAGGCCGGCTGAGATTTCCTGTCGATTTAGCGACGATGTGAAAGAGGCATTTTAGGAACGTAATATCCCTCAGAATTCAGCAGTCGATCTACTTTTCCTTGGCATATGGTTGTCTTGTATCAGAACAAGGAATGGTCATTTATTTTATTGTTCGTGACATGGTGTTGTGTTTTTCAGGTTCCGTGGCACAGCGTTCGACGTTCAGGTGTACTCGGACACAGCTTACAAATACTTCAAACTCATGCCAAAGAGAGAAAAGGTAAGGCAGGTCTCTTGCAGATTCCTTGAATATGGTTCGGTGACGAGCGTTTTTTTTTTTTTGTAAGGCTGTTTCTTTATATTTTAAGTCACCTAGCGTGTTGAATTCTTGTGTCAGGTGATATCCCACATTGTTTTTGCACGCCCTGTTCATCAGTTACTATCAATTTGCTGTTAGGTATTTCTCCTCAGTCCCACATCATCCACGCGTTCGCTCCAGCCCCACTCCTAACCCCTCCCGTGTCCCGTACAGGCGGACGCCAGCCGGCAGGTGGCCTCGCCGATGCCCGGTCTGGTGAAGTCGGTGGCTGTCGGCGTGGGCGACCTCGTCTCGGACGGCCAGGAGGTGTGCGTCATCGAGGCCATGAAGATGCAGAACTCCCTGGTGGCCGCCATAGCCGGCAAGGTCAAGGCCGTGCACGTCAAGGAGGGCGATACTGTAGACGATGAGCAGGTGCTGGTCGAGCTCGAGTAGTGACGTCGCCGGCCGCTGACTGGTCGGTGGTTGATGGTTATTATCGGTGGTCGATGGTTGATGGTGCTCAGCAGTGTTGTGAGGTGTGACCGGGAGGGCGGTTTTTGTACCAGGCACACGCGAGTCCGTGAATCTGTAGAGCCGGTATATTTTTCGATAGGTGTGTAATGGTAGATGTGATAAAAGTCGCCGTGAAGCCCTATCCCGTACCAGTGATAATGGACTCTGAGAATTTTTGCCGGGTAGTCGTCGGGAGCGGGTAAACGATGGACAGGTAATGGTGTGCCAGTGAGACATTTTTGTTACGTTTTGCAACATGTTTCGAGTCATTTGGGATCTGCACGTATGATGTTGAGTGTCAACAAAAGACTGTGTTTCTATTGCGGATTTAGTGTATTTGTGTGGTGTCACGGGCGACGAAGTCTTCGCGACTTGACGGTGCAATATTAGATATTCCTCAGCTGCCTGACGCTGCGTGTCTCGTACAATAAACTGTAACCTGCGTCACTTATGTTTGATCTATCACGCGCCATTGGAGTATTTAGACGTGACGTTTCGATATTGAAGGTGGAAAGAGGACGCCTATTTGTCCCACGAAGGAAAATCGTGAGCGTAGTGTTGAGGTAGTAAAGTAATCTTGGTGTTGAGGATGTCTGACTGATGGCGTTCGGTCGGCATTTCATTTCTTTATTTACCAATATCGCCGACGGGAATTCACAATGAGAAGTGAAGAGACTTTAGGAAAAGTTTTAGTATGGAATTTGTAGATGATTGGCCGATATAACCTGATGGACAAAGACAGGGGCGGAGAATTGTCATAATCCCAGGGGGTGCTTTTCTAGCACCTGGCGAATGGAAGCGTCGAATTCTTGCGTAGAAAAGCACATATAGGTACGTTTTCCCAGCAGCATCACTCTCCTCGCGTCTTACGCATAGCAGTTTGTGTCTCAGACGTAATTTAAGCACCCCTGGAGTACTATTATATGGTGACATTTGAATTTCAGGGGGTGCTCGAGCACCCCCAAAACCCCTAATTCTCCACCCCTGGACTTGCCCCTGGACAAAGACATTTGTGTACCGAAAATGTGGCAGAAAGCACGGTATATATAAGAAAGTATATGCTCAGTATACTGACTGAATTGACGATTGGGGCGCTCGGGGAAAAGACGAAAAATATCAACAGCCGTTGGCCTAGTAAGTAGTGCTTGTGAAACTGGCGCACAAGCTACATATGAGGTGAAGATGAATTCCACACGCTTGTGTATTTTTGGCTTGTATCTGTTTTGTGTAATGAGAATAGGTTGTGGGCTTTTATCATGAAATTTTCGACTTTTGCTTGTGGTTTCAATGGCCTACATCAGATAGGTTCTTTAGATGATGCATCTGTGTCAACTTGGTGTCGAATAAATGATGCATTGGAATGTGAACCATGTTTGTCACTTTCTTGGGATTCTCTCAACATATGTGCTAATGGTAATTAGTATTAGTGTGTAACTGGTGAAATTGTTGAAGTGTTGATGTCTTGAATCATCATTAAGTCATTAAGTATTATCAACTTTACTCCTGCTAAATCAGTAAACTTAAAATAAAACCCTCTGAAACTGTCAGGACAAGTGCTCCAGAGAATCTTGTATTTGTTTTTTTGGATATCATAAGTTTTTTTATTTTGATGATTGCGTTTTTACCCTCAGGGCATGTCCAACGAAATGGAATTACTATCAAAGCACCACCTGGATGTGAACAAGAAACACCAAGCATGGTAAAATAGTCATCTATGATCCAATTTCAATCACTGATATTGATATGGGATAGGTTTGTTGATTAACTCCCGAATGTCACCCTCACAATATATTTTGATATCATGAGGACTATGGAACATTGTAATTTATAACATATATAATAGTAAGAAAGCAGTTTTCTCATGCTCCCAGTTACCAATACATCTCCTGCTATTGCTGGCCCTTGAGGCTTGACATGTCCATTCACCCCTGAGAAACAGTACCCCTGAAGCCGTGGCTATAATGAGCCCAGTCAATGACTTAACAGTGGGCACTGGGTAGCCAACCTGCTGGCCATAGCTATCTGGATATCAGCTGGGTTTTTCTAGCCTTGTTTGCCCATCAGTTGTGGCCTTGAAATTGCACATCCTTTCAAAGTTTCAATGACTCAGTTTTCTTTGTCCATCAGCTGTGTTCTGCTGAAGATCGGCTGGTGGCTCTGTATCCTGATGGCTCCACCTGGCTAAGGACAACTGCCTGGCGCCGACTAGCACTCCAGTCAGCTGGCCAGGAGACTGCTGAGCCTGCACGTCATGTGAGCATCGGCAGACACACATTGGCTGCCTGTGACACAGGTCAGCAGCTCACTCTCATGACATTGATCATGTAGAATGGTTTCTGTTCCCAAATAAAGTAGCCAACTTTTCAATAATTGCTTTCAGGTTACAAACATTGTTCCAGTGGAACATTTAAACCATCATGAGCTGGGGTATCCCATCCATGATCGATGTTTCTTTTCAAGTTTTCAATGATTGCTCCAGTTACTTATGTGGCTAAACCCTATTCAGTCCTCCCCTTTCACAGGCCAGTAACCCAGCTCACTCTTGGCCAACTCTGAATGGGTCCTGAGTTTTGTACACCTCCATGACTGGCCTCCCATCCCCTGGTGACCCAGGTGGCTCACTGCTGACCCTGGACGGGGTACCGACACCGGCCGGTGAATGGCTGCAGGCGGTCTCCTGCGGCCGAGAGCACGTGGTGCTGCTCACACGCTCCGGACGAGTGTTCACCTACGGTGGCGGCAGGTCAGTGACGACGATACCAGACAGGCTCTACAACGAAACTAATACTCGCTTAACTAATCTGCGGCGACGGCAGTTTGGCCACTCAGTCGCTTAGGGATGGGCTATGGCTCTCTAACCGATCACCGGTAGATGGCAATGTGTCATGTGTGGTTACAAATTTGTTATAGGTGAACTGGTAAGCTAAGCTCTGACCCACGTAGTGATGTCTCTGGGTGTTTTCTGATGATCCCAGCCGAGATCATCGTGGTTATAATTACCGTCTGTTCTGATGCCACTGTTATGTCCGCAGCCGAGGTCAGCTGGGGACCGGCGAGCTGAGCTCCTCGGACGTGCCTCAGCTGGTGACCGCCCTGGACGGACTCGCCATCACCCAGGTGTGCGCCGGCGGATGGCACACGGCAGGTGGGTGCGTCACGGGCGGGGGCGGCGCCGGGGGTTACTGGGACTGTGCTCACATCACTCCGTTTTGACTCCGCCTAGTTTGTGACGCGGCCATCGTCGCCACCAGACTAGACTAAACCCCCGTCGCTAGCGAATAACGAACGCGAAAGTCACTCGTAGTGGGTTGTCGCCACTTGTCGGTTCAGCGGTCCGTTCCTTGTGCTATTCGTGGGCTCGTTTCTTTCCGCGCTGTGCTTCTTGACCGAATGCTAATTATGTTATCTGATGTGCTATTCAAAATCAGGCCGTTCTCCGTCCGACTGTCGGAAGTGTTCAGTTTCGTGACTTTTCCAGTCCATGACATAACTATCCAAGTCCCAGGTAGCTTGTAAACCAGTCCGGTTCCGTCCACTCATCCAGCGCCACTCTGCTCCAGCGCTGTCGAGCTCCGGTGACGTGTACACCTGGGGCTGGAACGAGTCCGGCCAGCTCGGGCTCGGAGACGCGGTGAACGTGGCTGCCGAGCCGGCGCTGGTGGACGCGCTTCCCAGTGACGTCACCGTCACTCAGCTGGCCTGCGGCTTGCGACACACGCTGGCGCTGCTCGGTAAGACTTGGGCTGTAGGGGTTTGGTTGTGATTGTAATGGTGATTTATCCTCAAATGGTAGTTGACAGGAGGACATTTAGTGGGTCCTTCCAACTTGCTTTGACTCGTATTCTTAATCTTTAATATATTCAGCGTATAAAACTCAATTTCTTACGTTACATGCTGAGTTATGTCAGAAACTATAAACCAGTGTAGTATTACATCATTAGTACGATGTCCGATCGTGCGACCGGTTTCTGCTCCGCTCTGACCTCCCCCCCCCCCCCTCCGACAGAGGACGGCTCGGTGATCGGCTGGGGTTGGAACGGTCATAGTCAGCTGGCCCTGCCGCCCTGTGACCGGTCACTGCCCCGGGCCCTGCCGCTGCCGGAGCGAGGCACCGTAGTCAGGGTAGCCGCCGGTGGCTGGAACTCCGCTCTGGTAACCCGGGAGGACAGCTGATGAGTCTTCGGTGACCGGTGCAGTGAAGTAGCGTGCTTTGTAAAATTGAAAGATATTTCGGGGTGCGCCTAACCGGGCATGATGGCGAGCCCAAGGCGATAAGGCGAGCCCTTTTATGGCGTGCGTCATAAATTCGAAGTATCCGGTACTAAAGCTGATTTTGCCAGCGTGTATCGTTTTCAGATCGGGTATTTGGTCGTGATCACAGCACCTTGCCTCTGCTATGTGATGTGGGGATTTGGGAGGGCTTTGTCATAAAATGGTGGGGTATGCAATGAAATGTATTTTGTTTGCTTGATAAGGTTACTTTTTGCAGTGTTTTCTTAAGCTTTTAGTTATGGAAGGCTTAGCTTTTCGAATTTCGAAAGGGTTAGCATAGTGTAAATGTACGCTTACCGTCGAATGTGATGCTTTGACGACAGAAGGTGCAAATGTGTTCATGTCATTTGTTATCATTTTTCGGAAAAGATTGGTTATGCGCATTCAGAGTGTTCTGTTTTAGGTAAGTTTCACTCAATATGCATGAGAGTTCTCAAGAGAAGGGATTTCTCGAATAAATGCTGTTTTTGTTGAGGACAGTCATTTTTATTGTCTAACGTGCGTGATTGTGAATGTATACCAATGTATACCGAATAGCCAAGATTACTTTACTAAAAGCTGCCCAATGAAGAAAACTCTGTGGCAGCAGCGAACAAAAAAAAACTACCATTTGAAATGCAATGCAATGCAAATGGAAATTGTATGCAATACAAATTCATTTTTATCGTCAGAACAACGGAACATAATTACCCTGCTGCTAAACGATGACAGGTGACTCGGTTCTCAAAATACCCCTGTCAAGTGAAATTTTGCAGCATTTTAGTGCTATCAAGCGATGGAACTCGTAAACAAAAACACTGCGATTGACTGCGATCTCGTCTCGGCTGGTGGGTGGTGTTTGGTGTGAGTTTTTGATCTCTTGTCTTTCACTTGTCTACCTGTTAGACGACTGAGTCTATTGCTATCTTTAAGGTTATTCTATGTTAAATCAGGAGTTGTTTCTATACGTTTTTGCGTTGTTCTTTCACTCAATTGGACAGCGTTGCATAAATTAGGCGAATGTGGCGCAAATGTTTATCATTTGATCATTTACAGTTATTGATGACTTATTGATAACTCAAGTGATAAATTAACTCAAGGAAGATCGATAGATATATTAAATTATTGTTTGGTGTTTAGTATGATATTAAAATCAGTCATTTTTGCATTTTCAGATTTTACGCCTTTGCAAAGGCGAGCTTTTCAGACTTTTTGGCCATTGCTGTTTGCAAAATTAGAATGAGGTGATGAATGTTTTTTTTTTACATTTAGGAGAATATTTTATTGATAATAAGTCTGAATCACACTATCAAGAAGGCAGGCCTTCTTGTATAGGTATGCCAGGGCTAAAAGTGGCATTTTTAGGATATTTTTAAGATGGGTTGAAGCAAGATACATATAAGAAACAGGTAGATCCGATGTTTGAAAGTAAAGCCCCAGTCACAAATTTGACGCACCTGTGACGTTTCCTGACACCCACGTGACTATTGTATTAACTTTTGTGTTTTGCGATGTTTTGACCTTATTTTAAGTACTGAAAGCTCAAAATGAATGATTAATGTTGTTTAAAGCAGCATATTAATAATTATGTTTGTAAATTATCGATAAGCTGCTTATAGCAGGTCACGTGATTGCTACCAGATTATGTGCTCAGAAAGCATCTTTTCAACTTCGATTTTGAACAATTTTTACCTCCTTTGAGGCCAAATGATGGACGGTTTGAGGCACACGATGAAATGCTGAATCTATTGATGCCAAAATTTGTTCGTTTTTTGCATTTTTAGACTAGTATATCCTGGCTCAAACTTTGACCAGTTTGTGTGTAAACCCTATGGTGAAGGGAAAACTTCACGCCCAGCAGACGTCTTTACAGTGCTGCCAAATCGTGTTTGGTGGGGGTCGGGTTGAAGTGGGCTAGGGCTGAGCTGTGAGGCCTTGGTCATATCTGGATTGTGTCAGCTGGCTGGCCAGCTGATGACGTATGATACCCATTAATATGTAGATATAAGCATGTACCTAGTAGATGGACTTAATAGAGAAATTAAGAGGTAGATATTCAGTCTATGATATCTAGCATTGATAAATAACATTTGTAACAAGCACTGCTAGTGCCACCACATGGTGCCAGTGGGCAAATAATCCACTTAATACGACGGTCTGAGCTGTGTCCTTGAGGATACATTACATTCAGTTACAGAAACGGGAGGCTTAGTATTTTGGCTTAGTATTTATAAGTATTTTGAAGATATGTTTAAATGTTTGTTACATACCTCTAATACAAATACTCCTAACAAATAAATGGAGAATGTGACATGTGTCAGTCAAAAATTACTCATTTTATATAGTGTTATGTTTGAAGCTTGTGGAGACATTTGCATTTAGCTGTCAGCTAAGATTCATTTCTTGTTTTATTGGATGGGTATTGATAGCATGAAAAGTAAGCTCACTAGCTTTGCTTATTAAATCTTTGACTGTTCTGTGGATGTTCTGTTCTGGACCACCTAATCTAGGAGTGCACTTTTTAATTTAAATATTTGCTGTGAAATTGACCATATGGCAATAATATGCACAGGTATGCATTTTCCTCCACTTTTGCATCATTTTTATGGGTTATGATGTTGAAATCAGTGATCAAGTCACCTGCTGCTTAGTTGCTACATACATGGCCTCTAGCTATAAAATATATGTACTTGATCTTTACGCGGCTGATTAATTTCAAAGAATTTTTAGACGGTTACAGCAATTGTTATACTCATTTGCACAGTGATCAAGGTTCCATGAACCGAAAGCTTTGTGTGTTTTTGAATATATTTGAATGCATTTGTAATAATTTGGTTTATTATTTACATCATCATCCAATTTGTACCGTAAAACGGGGTGTTAAGGGACAGTTTTGAGGTGTTTTGTTATATTACTCAAGAAGGGTTGGAGATAGAAGCATCAAATTGTCAGCATTTTATGTGGAATTTGGTGCTTTACATGCCTGCTACATTAAAGTTTTTAAGATTTATACCTGCATATTATTTTTATTATTTTTCATCACTGTCCCTTAGCACCCCAATGTGGGGTGTTAAGGGACACCTATATTATTCCAAGAAATGGTCATCAAATGCCCACAATTGGGGTGTGGAAGGGCACACAATTTATTTATTGAAATGTTTTGCATATTCTGTCACAAAACAAGTCAGGTTCATTCACCACTAATGACCTTTTTAGCCAATTACGTGTAATGCAGTTTACACTTGTGGAAAATGTGCTAATTATAAGATAAACAGAACCAAAAAGTAATCTTCTGTCATCAATAAAAACCCATGCTGAAGCTTGTCACTTGTCATTATGTTGCCCTCTTTGTTTTAGCCTTTTTATGATGACATCACATTTACTTACATCAGTCTCCATTGACCCATCATTGTAAAAGAGAGTGTTGAGATGTTTTGTTACATAACTTAAGCTGTGTTAGAGATAAAAGCATGAACTTGCCAGCATTTTATGTGGAATTTGGTGTTTTCCATGCCTACTTAATTAAATTATATTTAGATATTATTTTTTATTTTTCCTTCCCTGTTCCTTAGCACCCCACATCCACCCCAAAATATGCATGTATCCGGAAAAGAGGAAGAGGATGATGAATGAATGGGTGGATTTGCATAAGCTTTTCAGGAAACATGTGCAATACATGTGACAATACACCTATGCATTCATTTTCCCTGTACACCCACTAGTTTATGTGGTACACACAGAGTTTTGGAGATGTTTCAATTTTGTGAAAATGTAGCATGATTTTCAAATCCATTTTTGAACCAAATCACTTGCATGAAAAACCATACCATTTTCTCCTATGGTCAAGAGCAAAACAGTGTCAACTACCACACTGAAGTTTTTATTGAACCTTCTCAAATTAGGAAGTTAATATGACTCAAAGTTTTTCCCATGCAACTGTCCCTTAACACCCCACTGTCCCTTAACACCCCATTTTACGGTACTTGAGTTTGATTGTTTTTTGCTCATGCTTGTTTCAGAGTGATGGAGGCTTTCTTGTGGAGTTGAGCTTTCAGCTGATGTGTTGATCAGAAAGGAGCTCTGCTCAGTGCTGAGACAGTCTCTGAACTGCAGCTAGGACCAAGGAGGAAAAGGTGGGCAAAGGCAGCAACAGAGTGCTATATCCTCACTCAGTTGCCACATCCAGTTTCTGTCAGTCTTTGGCTCTGACAGTGGCACTGCTGCTGCACTGCTCCTATCAGCTGGTAACTGCACCACTATCAGCCCAGCTGGGCAGCCCGACTGTTCCATCAGTCCCCGCTGTCGTCACGCTGGCGGCCGCGGACCCACACGCTGCGCTCGGCGCGGCGCCGCCGCCGGGCCACCCAGACCCGGGCGCCCTGGGCACGCCGCCAGAGTTCTGTCTCAGGTGGAACAACTACCACGAGTCGCTGGCCGACGCCTTCTCTGGCTTCCTGGAGCGGGAGGATTTTCTGGACGTGTCGCTGGCCTGCGACGACGCCGTCATCAGCGCGCACAAATGTGTCCTCTCCGCGTGCAGCCCCTTCTTCCAGGAGATCCTGCTGGTGAGTTGGCGCCGGCGGCGATTCCATTGATACATTCTCTCCAGTGGGTGGCATCTCTTCCTCAAAGCTTGGAAACTCGCGCAGTTGTAGTAACAGACGATGCGTAAAACTAGTGTGGTACTGGTGACTATCATTTAAATTGTTGTAGCTGAAGTTTCTCATCCACTATAGTTCTCACAATCGTAATATTGTCCAGATTTAAACATTTTGACCGATAAAGTGTGCAATATTTTAGTGAGTTCATCCTCTGTTGTCCCTCCGCAGAAGAACCCATGCAGCCACCCGACGATCGTTCTGCCGAGCGGAGTTCAGGCGGCGCACGTACACCGGCTGGTCAGCTTCATTTACCACGGCGAGGTTAACGTCCCCCACCACCTGCTGCCCGAGCTCATCAAGACGGCAGGTACGTGCGCGGCCGCAGCGAGCAGCTACTGGCCCGTCAGTGGGTGCTGGAATCGGGTTCAACAAGTCCCGATGCCATATTGGGATCCGCCCCATAATTATCTTTATTTGATTAGGTCGTATGATACCATTGCGTGATTTCGATGCATTCTTATTAACAAAATTAAGTCTATGATTTGACAATGCACTAGGTTCACTCATTTGAGTACTTTGTCGACCAAGTTCCAACTATAATTCTTTCATATACTTTGTGGCTGACATCCGTTCGTGTGTGTATGTTTCCACAGATCTGCTGAAGATTCGCGGCCTGGCTTCTGAGTCCATCATTCCGGTACGGATGACGCAGCAGCCGGTAAGTCACTGTGCACTAGGGGATATCACCCACTGATGTAATGTCATGAGATAGACTGGACTGGCACCTTCTTTTCACTTAGAAACAGTATATCAGCAGCGTAACATGTCCGGGCCTGTGTGTGACTGGAGCTTGGCTGGAGCTGTGGATGCATCACTCTCAGAAACTCCTGTTCCGTGCGGCGTCCTTCCATGTTTGCGGTTTGTCCCGTTTCTTGGCCGGCTTGCTGCGCCTGCGGTGAATCTCTGGGCCTAATTTTGTACCAGGTGCCAGGTGGCCCGCCAGGCTTTTTGTCTGTGGTTAGGGAAATCTCTAAGCAGTGGCGCGGAACGAAATCTGCCGAAGCGGTGCTTTGCTTGCACGAACACAACTGAGTTCGTCATACCTAGTCGTACTGAAACCTTTTGACGTTATTATCGATTTCACGACTATAACGATTAACGATTAAACGATTTATTATTTCTTAACGATTTCCTGCTGGAATTTATCCAGAACGGGATCGGCATGGCATTTTGTTTGTCCTTTGTATGTACGATTTGGTCATAATATTAGTAAAATTTAATTGGATATGAATTTTATCTTATTTCTGTTGTCGTCTGTCCGGCAGCTGGAGGTTCAGGCGGTCATCACGCTGCCCGAGCAGGGGCCGCCCGACCTGAGCATGGCGGCCGCGCCCCGCGCCGCCGCCGCCCCAGCCCCCGCCCACTCCGCGGCGCAAGAGGTCACGCCGAGACCCCGGCGACGCACCGTCGCCGCCGCCGCCGGAGCTGACGGCGGCCGAGACGCCGCCGCCTCCACCGCTATGTCGTGGCGGTGTGGAGCCGGCGGTGGGCCCGGGAGCGCCACAGCATCACCACCCACACCAGCCGCAACACCAGCCGCAGCACCAACACCAGCCGCAGCACCAACACCAGCCACCACCGCCACACGGCACCGGCGCCGACGACCACAGGGTGAGAGCAGGGAGGAGGGAGAGAGGAGGAGCGGCGCCGGACCGACCGCAGCCGGCGGTCTGTGGTCGGGCGGCGCACGACCGACGGTGGTAGAGGGGGAGGGGAGGGGCGGCGTTGTGCTTCTTTGTGTTTGGTGCGTGCCGCGTGGTCTGTATGACTCATAGAGCTGTTTTTCCTTGCAATAATACAAAGTCCAGTTTTGCGTAATATTTTCATATCAGACGGATTTATATACTTCGTCGGTTTTTCTGTCTCCGTGTCTTATATGTTGTCAATGTCATCGATAATTCAATAGTCAATGTACTGTAGTATGTCGTGTGTATTCTGATTTCTCTGCCACAACGACAAAAGCTGCCGTTCGCTCAGCACTGTCTTCTCTTTTCACTAAGAGACAGCATGTCCAGGCCTGTGTGTGATCTCCCCTTCCCGCCCCCTCCGCCATCAGTCGGGTCTGCCGGAGCTCTCCGCCGCGGCGGCCGCCGCCTGTCGTCTACCCTCCGGCGTACCACTACGCCTGGAGTCAGCCGAGGTCAAACGGGAGCCGAGCGGCGAGCCGCCGGACCGGGCCGACCGCTCCGAGCGCGCCGCCAGCCTGGAGTCGTGCCGCAGTCCCTCGCAGCAGCTGACCACCATTGACGGACTGGACCTACTCGGTGAGTGGATTATGGGAGCGGTAGATGGGACGGGTAGCTGTATACACTATACAGTGTACCCTGGCCAGCAAACTGGACCTAGTCGGCGAGACATAAAGGGGAGAGGGGAACGGTAGTTATATGGCAGGCTCAGGCTGTCTGCTGTAAATTGATGGACTGGGATTACTCAGCGAGTCATAAAGGGGTTAGGGGACAGTAACTAGCAGGCTCAGGTTGACCGCCATAAAGTGGTGGACTGAGATTTCTGTGCGAGTCATAAAAGGGGAAGGGGCAATTCCTCACAGCAGTTGGTCACCATAAAGTGATGATTGGCCCTCTTTGGTGGACCATAAAGGGGGCGAGTGGAGTGGCAGCCCCACACTGATTATTATCAGAGTAGTCAGTGAGTCAGTCATAAAGGCTGCCATGCAAAGACAAAAACCATTATGTCGGGTCAGAAGCCATTACCTCAGGTCAGAGGTCACCCGAACAAAATGGGTTTTGCCTTTATACGGCAGAAGGGGAGGGACAGGTCATCCGCGGATACCATCCGTCAGCGAAAACTGCCGCCGGTGGACTGGACCTGCTCATTGAACAGTATAGAAAGGAAGCCAGCGGCCCACGCAACAGCATCTGAGTAATGGGAAACGGGCAGATGGGACAAAATGTCTATCGATATGCTTGTGATGTTTTCAAAAGAATGTGTATGAACGGCTGTGTTTGTTCGTTTCAGATCCCTCACAACTACTTGGCTATGACGGTTCAGGTGAGTTCCACTTCCAGGCCGGGCCTGCCTTGTGTGGATTACCTTCTCGTGTGTACTTGAAGTCTAACAACCATTATAAGTCATAGGTAACATCTTTGAATCTACTGTTTGACCATTAAATATAGGTGCCAATATTTGACATCAAATTATTACCCCCTCTCTTCCTTAGCGGGCGGAGCGTCCACCCACAGACCATGTCCCGTCTGTAACCTGTACCCCCTCCCCTCCCTCCCCAGCGGGCGGAGCGTCCACCCACCGGCCGTGTCCTGTCTGTAACCGGATAATGCGCAAACGGGACATCTCTCGCCACATGCAGCGTGTGCACTCGGTGCGGAAGCACGCGTGCTCGCACTGTCCGCTCAGTTACGGTTACCGACTGGACCTGCGGCGACACCTGCTGGAGAAGCACGCGGCGCTGGCCGGCCGCGAGAGCCCGCTGTCGGCCGGTGGTCACCGCACCGAGCCGACGGCGACGGGTCAGACTACGACGAGCGGTCCGACAGCAACGAGTGACCGAAGAGTGCTGGGGGCCTAGGGCTGAGTGGTTGGCGGGACAGTAAGGAGCGACCGCTTGGCGCAGCCTCAATGGTCGGCGGGATACCAACGAGTGACCGACGAGGGCCAATTCGGAGTCGTCAGGGGATTGAACCTGCGGCCGGGATCTGAGCGCTGCCGTGCTGGTGGCGTCGATGGCTATATATCAGCTGTGGTGAAGCAGCGCATTTGTGTTATCGCCGCAGTATTCAGTCAGCTAAGGCTAGAACTGTTGGGTGTGCGAATAATTCCCCTGGTATCCGGGGTTCATATCGAAGGAGGCACAGGGCTGCTGAGTCGTTGACTACATATGTTCACGCTTCGCGCTTTGCGAACAAGCCGCCAGTGTGACGCTATGCATTGTATAATGAATTGTTATGTGATGTTTTTGTTTTCACAGAAACTGTTAAAATATGTTTATTCTAGAGGTGTGTCGAGTAAGTCATTATCCTGCCATGTAAGTCACGTTTGTTTTCGAGCTACGGTTTTGGCGTCGACGCCTCCATTTATGCTGCAATGTTGCTTGATAATGTTCAGCAAGAGAGCATTAAGATGTCATGACTTCTTGCCACTGTGTTTTGTGCAACCAAGAGCAAATCAAACTGTATGCATGAGGACAATGCACGCATCGTACATTTACGCGATGTATAGGGTGCCTGAGAAAGCACGATGTATTGTATGTATCGATCTGTTATGCTGTCATCTGACCCAGTGTTGAAGGAAAACTATTTAGATTCCATATATAAAGAATTGTTGCTTATATTGAAACTGGTGTTTGACTGACCTAGAAACACTCTACATTCTTTGGTCGATGGCCGTTCTACGAGTGTCGATGGCGCATCAAAGATGACACCGCCCCATCAGCAGGGCTTCCCTCCGGCTCCGTCTTCACACAGTTGGCGATGACACTTCAGTGCAGCTTTGCTCGTTCAGTGAAAGACTGGTTAAAAGTGTCCGATGATTCCGAATCGTGGTTTCAAGATCTTTGGATCCGGCGTTTGGTTGCCGGTCGTTCACAAGTAATTATTTCGCTTTTTGTTCGTTCGTTGAAGGCTCGGCTCATCTTCTAGCTGATCCTGCATAGGTACGGTGCTGTTGAGTCAATATTGTGCAGCAGTTGTGGTTCTGGGTTCGGCTCTCTTCAGTTTCACTGTTTTGCACCCTACTTACGCCGGTCTAATAATATCAGCCTGGGCCGGGCGAGCTGACTCATCAGTCATCACGCTACATTATCACTGACGCCGTGCTGCACGTTCTCCCGACACCAATCCTCTCCATCGTGTCCCGAGGAATAAATCGTCTCCGCCTGGCCTTTTGAAAACGTTCTGTTGCCGCTCCTCCGGCCCGTCTCAGGCCTCGGCGGCGGCGGGTGGTCCGGTGCTCGCCGGCTCACAGCGTCTCTGGGCCACCGGCCGGTGCTCGCAGCTCCCGTCCGTGAACGGACACCGCTGCTCGTGGGGAAAGCGGCGTGCTCGCGCGGCCGTCCCGTCAACCGGCACCCGGAACGTCTCCCTGCGGGAACCGCGGATGGAGGGAGCGAGTTGTCACAAACTAATGATTGCGGAATGTGTAGTACAACAGTTACTCCCACCCCATGCAGTAAACTACCTACATCCGAGCCAGGCGATAGGTTTTCCCCTCCTAATTCCCCATACGCGCCAGGAAACAGTATTGGCTTCCCCGTTCCCATGCACTGGAAGATTGCCTATCCCTTTCAGTCTCCTATGTGCAACTAGTGATGGTCTTATCAAAAGTCCCGGGTCTCCCCCGCGCCACACGATGGCCCATCCCGTCCCGTCCCTCCCTACCTGGCGATGGTCTGCAGTCGCTGCTCGCTGGTCGGCCGACCCGCCGTGTCTATGAACGCGTCCGGCTCACTCTCCGAGTGTTCCCTGCGGATGCAACAAGGCCGCGCCTTGCGGTGCGTGCCGCGCAGGCTCTCTCCCAGTGTCTCATGCTGGTACCTGTTATCGTGCATGGTGAACGGAAAGCGTAGGTGCTCGGAACGCAGGGTTTCCATCAGCTCGAATTTCCTGGGCAGCGCACACTGGTCGGAAACGCCCTCACGAGAGGCCACGGGCGATTCCGGAGTTTCGGATTATTTTTTATATAGATCGATTTGAAATTGATCAAATTATTATAATTAGGCCAAAAAAACTAATCCGAGTGACCAAAAATAACTGTAATCAGCCCCCGAAGATGGGGTTTCCCAGAACTCGGAAACTGACGCGGAGCAAGAGGTTTCTTGAGCCGGATATTCAGAGTCTTATTGCTGATAGACACCAAATTGAAATCCCACTATTATGCATCAAAATGTTTGTTATGAAGTTGCCGACTGGTCAGTGCAATTTTTTTGGTATACTTTTTCCCCAACTAAGATCTACTGTAGCTTTTTTATGAGGGCTCTCCTAGAGTGATTCTGGAATATAACTGCAAAGTTTAGGTAAGGAAACAACAGGTAGTCCCATCTAGTCCCACTCTGATTTTTTGTGAGATGAAGCAGGATTTAAATTTACACCAGGGCAACATAAAAGCTAACTGCGCATATTTGCGCAAAATTTGCAGGAGCCGCTATTCCTACCCAACTACCGCCCGCCCCGCCCCAGTTTCGGCCCGGCCGCCGCGCCCCAAGATTAAGAATTTTTGCCGCCCAGGTGACGTCACATAATATGGTAGCGATTTGGTAGCCGTTTGCAAATACATAAATGACTTGCGTGAGACATTTATAATGCAAGGTATTGTTCAAGGACGTATAGGCCGTGTATATAGGGTATTGTTTGTGGATTTTTTGCCCATTAGGTAGTGATAATGGCAAATTTGCGATTTTAGATAGGACTATTGAGGATTCAGACGACTCTAGCTTTATTTATCAGATCGCTTATAATCACCAGGTTTTCTCATTTCTGTCATTATTTTCCCTTATAGTGTCTGTTCATCAGAGGTCGGTTTGTATCGCACAATGAAATTGAAATGCTGATGAGTGATTAAATTTTTATTCAGCTATGAATATTTTTAAATTTTGGGTTGAGCATGGCCATCAGATATGCAATAATTAGCCCTCATAATGCTGCATTGGCTATATGGACAAAGTGATGGTCTGAGCAATGTACACCAATTGCCTCTTCAACAGTCTTTGACATGTTTCAAATTGTAAATCTAGTAAAATCATGCATTAGAAAAAATGTGGTAGTCGTTAAGCAAGCCCCACACTTGTTTTTCCAACCAGGAAGAGGCGCTCTACCCAGAGATGCCTGCTAATCAAGTCAAGCCACCTAACCAACCTAACCTAACCTTACCTACCTAACCTACCTACCTAACCTAACCTAACTAACCTAACCTACCTAACCTAACCTAACCTAACCTAACCTAACCTAACCTACCTAACCTAACCTAACCTAACCTAACCTAACCTAACCTAACCTAACCTAACCTAACCTAACCTAACCTAACCTAACCTAACCTAACCTAACCTAACCTAACCTAACCTAACCTAACCTAACCTAACCTAACCTAACCAACTAACCTAACTACCTAACTAACCTAACCTAACTAACCTAACCTAACCTAACCTAACCTAACCTAACCTAACTACCTAACCTAACCTAACCTAACCTAACCTAACCTAACCTAACCTAACCTAACCTAACCTAACCTAACCTACCTAACCTAACCTAACCTAACCTAACCTACCTAACCTAACCTAACCTAACCTAACCTAACCTACCTAACCTAACCTAACCTAACTAACCTAACCTAACCTAACCTAACCTAACCTAACCTAACCTAACCTAACCTAACCTAACCTAACCTAACCTAACCTAACCTAACCTAACCTAACCTAACCTAACCTAACCTAACCTAACCTAACCTAACCTACCTAACCTAACCTAACCTAACCTAACCTAACCTAACCTAACCTAACCACCTAACCTAACCTAACCTAACCTAACCTAACCTAACCTAACCTAACCTAACCTAACCTAACCTAACCTAACCTAACCTACCTAACCTAACCTAACCTAACCTAACCTAACCTAACCTAACCTAACCTAACCTAACCTAACCTAACCTAACCTAACCTAACCTAACCTAAACCTAACCTAACCTAACCTAAACCTAACCTAACCTAACCTAACTAACCTAACCTAACCTACCTAACTACCTAAACCTAACCTAACCTAACCTAACCTAACCTAACCTACCTAACCTAACCTAACCTAACCTACCTAACTAACCTAACCTAACCTAACCTAACCTAACCTAACCTAACCTACCCTAGACCTAACCTAACCTAACCTAACTAACCTAACCTAACCTAACCTAACCTAACCTAACCTACCTAACCTACCTAACCTAACCTAACCTAACCTACCCTAACCTAACCTAACCTAACCTAACCTAACCTAACCTAACCTACCTAACCTAACCTAACCTAACCTACCATATTATTAATATGTATTTTTTGTATGCATGTTGTTTCGCCGTTTTGACGATTTGCTTATGATGTTGAAGCGCATGTGATAGGCATCTGTCTTTTTTATCATTGCTGACGTCTGTGATATTACCTGATATTTTTACTCTTCATCGAAGAAGCGAAGACTTAATTTAAGCATGTGACCACATAATTTTGGAAATTTGAATGTGCGCCACTTATACGCATCCAAACGATGTTTAATATCACGAAACGAACGACTTGGATGAATTGTTAATTTTGATTTGATTCTATGTGTGTCTAACTGTCTAGGCTGAGGAAAAAAGCCGCAGTGCTTTCGAAAGGTACCATAAATAAAAAGCACCTGGTGTTTCGAATATTCGTCCTAAATATCTGCATTGGCTTTGGAGAACAGATCTGAACATGGAGAACATCATCTAATATTGGAGCGTCCGAGTTTGTCAATATCTGAAAACCGATTTGCGATTTCGCTGCGTGTGGTGGCAATATTATATTTCACGACATGGGACCTTAAAGAAGACTGAATATTCAAATGTTCTGGTGCAGTGATTGTTAGATTTTAAAACAATGGTAACAATCATTGCACTAGAATATTTGAATATTTAGTCTTTCTTTAACATCCCGTGGCTAACCGGTCGGCTGCCGATCGCGGTTGAGAATAAGAGCTGCCAGATTTCGAATGGAAACAAGCACAGTTCCCAAATGTTCTGTTCCGAGAAGTAATTGAGACGCTAGGATAATGTATCCAGTGCAGATTTTAAGAAGTCTGATGAACTGAACAGCCGTTTTTGTCTTTTCTTTAACATCCCGTGTCGTGAAATATAATAATGATAAGTTACGTTATTTAAAACCGACATAAAGAAACCAAAGAAAAAGCCAGCAACGAGACAAGTGAACGTATTGAATATCAGTTTACAATACACACTTATTCAAAATTATAACAGAACACAATTGCCGTACAGACGACACAAAGTGCTGCGATGATCACATCCCTGTAGAAGATACACGCAGCACCCCTCACCAGCGCTCGGAACAGAATGAAGGCGCCGGCTGACCGGCCGGCTACAGATCGCGGTTGAGAATTAGAGCTGCCAGATTTCCAACGGAAGCAAGCACAGTTCCCGAATGTTCTGTTACGAGAAGTAATCGAGACGCTAGAATTATGTATCCAGTGCAGATTTTAAGAAGACTGATGGGCTGAACAGCCTTTTTTAAAGAATTTGGCATACCATGTGTCCATGTTGTAATTGACAACATTGATAATCTGGCAGCTCTAATACGAATTGTAAACTGATATTCAATACGTTCTGTTGTCTCGTTGCTGGCTTTGTCTTTGGTTTATTTATGTCGGTTTTATATAACATAACTTATCATTATTATATTTCACGACAAGGATGTTAAAGAAAAGAATGAAGATTCTAGACAGAATAAAAAGACAAAGGCAGCAACGACACAAGTGAAAGTATTGAATACCAGTTCACTGAACATACTTATTCAAAATTATAACAGCCTTGCCGTAGAGACGACACACAGCGATACAACAATCTTATCGCTGTAGAAGATGCACGCACCGCCCTTCACCAGTGCTTAGAACAAACTGAAGTCGCCGGCAGAATGGGCCAGTTGCGGCCGACCACGATAATTAGGTCCTATCAGCTGACGTATTAGAGCTGCCAGATTATCAATGTTATCAATTACAACACGGACACATGGTATGCCAAGTTCTTTAAAAACGGCTGTTAAGCCCATTAGTCTTCTTAAAATCTGCACTGGATACATAATTCTAGCGTCTCGATTACTTCTCGTAACAGAACATTCGGGAACTGTGCTTGCTTCCATTGGAAATCTGGCGGCTCTAATTCTCAACCGCGATCGGCAGCCGGCCGGTGAGCCGGCGCCTTCAGTCTGTTCCGAGCACTGGTGAGAGTCGCTGCGTGTATCTTCTACAGCGAGGTGATCATTGAAGCGCTTTGTGTCGTCTATACGGCAAGTCTGTTATAAGTTTGAATAAGTATGCATTGTAAACTGATATTCAATACGTTCTGTTGTCTCGTTGGTGGCTTTGTCTTTGGTTTATTTATGTCGGTTTTAAATAACGTAACTTATCATTATTATATTTCATGACAAGGGATGTTAAAGAAAAGACTGAAGATTCTAGACAGAATAAAAGACAAAGGCAGCAACGAAACAAGTGAAAGTATTGAATAGCAGTTCACTGAACATACTTATTGAAAATTAACTAGAATAATTATAATTATTATAATATTATTATAATTATATAATTAAATTAATATATAATTAAATAATTATAATAATTAAATTAATTAAAATAAGAAAAAAAACGAGACAACAGAACGTATTGAATATCAGTTTAACCTATCAGTTTAACCTATTTAACCTATTTAACCTATCAGCTGACGTATTAGAGCTGCCAGATTATCAATGTTATCAATTACAACACGGACACATGGTATGCCAAATTCTTTAAAAACGGCTGTTCAGCCCATCAGTCTTCCTAAAATCTGCACTGGATACATAATTCTAGCGTCTCGATTACTTCTCGTAACAGAACATTCGGTAACTG